GAACAAAAGAAGAAATTTGACAGTTATGCAAAAATAAAATTAGAACCAAATTTTACGACCTAATAAAGAGATGGGAACAGATGCAGTAAATAGAGAAAAGCATAAAAGACATGAAACGACAGTTGAACCTTAGTGACAACAGATAGCAAATTTTATATTAAACCTTGGCAAACAACTATTGACTACGCAAAAGCATAGTGTTAACTTGGAAAATTTTGAATTTTGTATGTCATATAAAATCCGTTCTATGTAAGATCCTCCCTTCCCATTGTTCAGAGTTTTTAAGTGAAAACATTTTTTTATCAATAATTAACCTTTTTATTTATTACAAAAAATCAAATGTTTCTGTTTAAAAAATACCGACACAGAACACATTTAACAAAACTTTGATTACTATAATAAACCTTAAAAGGTCACTAAACAACTCAGAAAGAAAAGTTTGTCTCTCAATAAAATCGCATAAATCTCTGAAAAATATCACAAATTCGTACCCAATATGATCTTAATACCGACAGCTTAATTGTTCAACAAAAAAAAAACACTACATTTATCGCCCAAAAAATTCACATATTTATGAAATAGCGCTTTATTTCAATAAATTATTTACTTCATCCAAAAAAGATGACAAAAAAATTACGAAAATCCTGCACAATACAATACAATTTTTGTAATACAACATAAGAATAATCACAAAACTACCTTTTTCCATATATACTTCAAGAATTCTGTTGTGAATTAAAACTTCCAAACAGCCGATCTTACAGATTATTTGATCAAACTATTTTGTTGTAATTTTTTTCGTTTTTCTGAAAATTTGAAATTGTTTGTACTGCAAACTTCGTTTTCATTAAGCTCTATTTTACCAGTGCTTTTTAGCTTATAAAAAACACGAAGTTTAAAAAATATGACAACAATTTTTCTCAGTTCACTTGTAAAGTCCATTTTTTTTCCCGTTTTTTTGTTCCAGAAATCGGAAATTTCACAAGCTGGTACATCACAAGCAAGGAAGTATTTTCAATTAGTTGGTATAAAAACCACAAAATAGTTGCTAATGCGGTTGACTATTTAAAGTCGTCTGCAAGCAACGAGTGTCCCGACCGATATCGACAGCAGAGAACCAGTCATATCTGAGCACCCTGATGATGATCCAACCAATGCTGATTGAAAACTTTTCTCATTATTTCGCTCTTGTGAATACAGTTTTTGTCCAGTCACTGTGTTAGCTTAAAATTACTACAACACTTTTGATCATCCTATCGCGGAATAAAAAAATATAAGTAAAAAAAAAAGAATTAAAGAGTTAAATAATACTTTGAAAAAATGCAGAAAAAGACTTAGTTTTACTTTGATGATTCTGCGTCATTCAGACAGGAAGCTTGATCTAATTAATTACTTTTAAAAATCACTTTTACCTACGTCAGCTGGAGCTGTCGACTGTCGGCTCAAGAGAGAAGGAACTGAAGTTCCAAAAATCGACAACCATCGATCCGGTTGTATCCGATTACACTGATCACCTTTACAAAAGCAAGTTTTACCGGTCATAAAAAAGGAACCACCAGGACCAAGAATTGGAATACTCTCTTCAAAACAATTCGATAACATTTCATTTCGAGTATACCACCCAGTGGCGCAATGCTTGGCAACCGCTAAAACCTTTAAATATAGACAGCCGATTCTACTTAACAGAATATTTCCTCTAGCGCCTAAATTATTTGATGAAAAACTTTTAGCCAATCAATTGCACAATAAGACAAATTTATTGTAAAAAACTTATAAAAAAACTTCTCAATTTAAAAGCGGTTTATTACACATGTTCTTCAAATACCGGTGCTTACCGTACTTTCTGACTGTTCCACTTTTATGAAGTCCAAAAACTTCATAAGTGAAACAGTAATCGTCACAAGGAACCAATACCCCCTCTTCGCAAAGAAAATCATTTACGACTGTTTTTCGTGATCGGTCCCACAATGCACGTGGCATTACTTTTTCCCAATCCTAAGTGATAAAAACTATTCATTACCGTCACCTTCAGCAAATTCTTTCAAAGTTTGGACTCTTTTCCTAAGAAACACTTGTAGTGTTGACTTGTGACCACATTCTTGTTGTCCCCTGCAAATTCCATCACCGCTGCTGTTTGCTGGTCAAAACGGTGTACAACAAATTTCCGCTGCGAGAACTCAAAGCAGACAAAAGTAATTGAAATTTCGCACTATAATGCCAAATCTGGAATGTCAACTTCAGTTCAGCACATGTACAATTTTCTGCCTGACTTACTGCTTATAAATGTGGTGGATTATCGAACATTGTATTTTACATTGATAATGGTAATGAGACGGCAATCAATTAACCAAGCAAAGCAGATTCCCTGATCTCAGAATTGAAAAAAGGTTAGAAAGATTTGCATACAATTTAAATGTTTCAATATCTATAAAACTAAACCACAGTTGCCGCTCTTTCCAGCTCTCCAAAATTAACTGCATATTACATTCCTGATTTTTTAATCAATTAAGTAAAGACAATAAAAAAAAAAAATACAATCCACAAAATTCTGTAATATCTTAGTCCCCGAGTAGTTCTTGCACTGTTGTCACTGACCTTTTGCTAGCTACCATAGTCAGTAACAAAAGCTTTCAGTTTAACACTATTCTCTTATGCTTCGTACTTGCAGCCGTATGACAAGCCTTTTGTAACGGTTTTGAATTGGTCGACAAGAAGTTATCAAACATTCCTTAACGATAATGGCAATATAAGAATACCTAATGTCATTTTACCCTAAATAATAATTGACTGCAAAGAACACACAAACCTTTTTTGTAAATGAGTGTTTTATAACTCTTTGAACTCTCAAACTTTTGTTTTTTTTTGAAAAATTTAAAAACTACTAAATTATACTAGTAAAAAGTTAGAAAATTTGATAGGTTATACAAAATCCATTAGTCACCTTAACTAATAGAACATTTTTTTACATGCAAAACTAACAATTACTTAAAGTTTAGAACATGCTAACAAACTCTTACATTTACAGCTGTATCTGTTGCACAGGAATAGCAGCGATAACCCTCCGTTTGATTTGGTAGTATTTTAAGCAATACAAAGCCAATAATAGCAGCATTATACATCGATAACATCGTTGAAGTAAAGTTGATTGTTTGACACTATTAAACTATTTAAAAAAGTAAACTATAAGAGACAACTTAGACAAACAATGGATCAATGAACATACATCAAAATTATTGCACTTAATTTATTTTACTGAAAAAATTCTTATAAATTATCTTCTCAAAAAATACATTCGAAAAAAAAATGTTTTTTTTTTATTGCTTAATAGTTTTGCGAGTAAAATTTATTAACAAATTAAGAAGAATGCTTTGTGAAATATAAACGAACAAATGTTATCCGACAGATCAACAATTTGTATTGTTCTGTCTACAAAAAACTGTGTCGATTAAGAAAAGACATCTGCTGAATTGTGCATTATCACTAAAGAGACGTGCCAAAAAAAAAATGAAGTAGTATTTAAAATGAATTTACATAAAAAATAAAAATTTTACATATCTCTATTAGTTTGTGAAATACCTAAATAAAAAAATTCTCCGACAAAAAAAAAAAAAAAAACAGAAAACAATTTGCTTTAATGCTTAAAAACTATTATAAACATAAACTGTCTAAAAGATTTCATTTCTGATAATACTGTCGCTGTAACCATTAGTGATATCTAAATGATAATCTATTCTTTAAAAAATTCTATACCGCTTTTATCCACCAATGACTTCAAACATTTTCTGCAATAACGGATAAACAATATTTGATAACTGTCCGCTTAAAATATACAGTGCAAAAAATTTTTTTGGTAAAACTAAGACAAAAACAAAAAAAAA